TGCAAAAGGTGTTCAGCGCCTTTTCTTCGCAACACAGAAAGAGAATTCGACTTTGTGAGGGTTATAATCCATAAGTGCGGCCGAAGGCCGCCTACGCAAAAAGAAGTTTATACACAAAAACCCTGTATACTTTTTTTCCATATTAATTCCATTTTCGTGAAAACTATAAAAAGGTATATGTATAAATATGTATATCAAATTAAAGAGAATTAAATTCTCTATCAAAATTGTCCAATTCCTTGAAGAGGGTTCCGAGAAATATTAATTTGAGAAAATGCTTAATTTGAACTTTGACCTTTAATAATTGTTGTAGTTGTTGTTTCCCAAAAAAAATAAATATACCGTTATGTTCACCTCAATGGTCTCTATCGATCCTATTTTTTTTTTTTTTAATTCGAGATTTGGTGGTATTGTGCATTTGTTCCGAAAACTTCAAAGAAGTTCAACAAATTTTCACCTAAATTTCAAACTTTTTTATCGGAAGTCTTTGAATTTTTCTGAATACACAGTTTTATAGCCCAATCAATTTTAGTCTGATAATGTGCAAGTTTAAAGTGACTAAAAGTTACCGCTGATTTTTTAGAATTTTTTTCCCCTAAAGGTGTTGCGGTTTTTATCCATATACAAATAAATTGAGTTTATTCATTACATGAAAGCCTATGCGACAAAAAAAATCTAAAAAATTAACGGTAATTCGTAGCCACTTGAAATTTGCACATTATCAGACTAAAATTGCAGTGGCTAAAAAACTGTGTACTCGAAAAAATTCTAACACTTCCGAGAAAAAATTTTGAAACTTAGGTGAACATTTGTTGCCATTTTTTGAAGTTTTCTACAAATTGTTAAACATGGGTTTATATGGGGTTTGTTAGAGAAAGAACTGTATTTTAATTCAAAATTCTTAAAAATAAATAAATAAGCGTAAATGGCACACAATATCACTTTGAATGGCGTGCTATAGATATGACCGACACTGTATGTATATACATATTTAGAGGCTAAGCTTACATATTAATCCATTCCGTCAACAATTTTACACATAATACGATCCAGCTGATCGCTTCGAGAATTAGCACTTAACTCCTCCGGATCTACTTCCATTTTGATGTTTTCATTATTATCGTTTTCGTTATTACAAACATCGGTCAATCCCACAAAAGCGTTGTTAACGATTTCTCTGACGCGTTCCAAATGTTTTTGAAACCGCGTTGTAGTCTCAACACGCTGTCGTTTTTGCATTTCCATCATTACTCTTAACGTTTCTCGTGCTTGATGAGGACGGAATTCATTCAACAAATGGTGCATATGGACAAACAACAGACTCAAATCATCTATCTAAAACATGGAATAAAATTTTAGGACTGTATTTACCTCAAAGTTGGAAAGTCACCTTTTCTGTTCTTCGTGGACTATCAGGGTATTGAATCAACAGATCAATTAGATCTAAAAAATTTACAAATAGCGAGTGGTTTAATTTCTTTAGCTCCTTCCGACGGTCAAAATGAAGCGGTATAAGACGCTTAATATTCTGCGACTCCAAAGAACGAATCATTTCCTCGTTATTATATTGAATTCCAAACATACTGTACGAGTCCTGTATAGGAGGAGGAGGTCGAGGAGCGCGATTCCGACGTATATTTTCCTCCGAGAAGAGATTAATGTATTGCGTTGGCGGCAACGGTAAACTCATGACCTGTGATTCTTGATTTGCCATATTCTGCTATTTGCCACTGCTGTTATTAATTAAATAAAATCCAATTATTGTCTTTATAATTTATTTATGAAGTATTATTGTTTGCTTGA